AAGGACTTACAAAAAAATAGTAACAAGTGGCTCAAATATCCAATCCTTAACTTCCTTCCAAACACTAGGGTAAATATTATCTGGAGCTAGAGCTTTATCGTGCTTCGAACTTTTAAATATTGTTTTCAGAATTAATGTAATATTCTTGTTCAAGCTTGTTTCCATGAAATGCTGTTTAGGTTGAGGAATACTGCTTCAATGCTTCTTAGTAAAAATTAATGAAAAATTATAATTTCATAACCCAGTCATTAGATATTATCATTCCTATATCATCCATCAAATGCATTATTCCAATTCTAACATTTTGCTATCCATCAATGTATTTCAGGATATCCTGGACCTGGTGGTTAGGTCGCTCAAGCCGCAATCTGCAGTTCACAGGCTCATATTCCCACCACAGAACATGTGTCGTGGGGGCGTTATATGATAGTCAATCCCGCTATTTTTGGTAAAAGTGTGTCCCTGGAGTTGGCGGTGGGTTCTGTTGACTAAATGTCTTCTCTCTAGCTTATCACTGATAAAATAAGGACGGCTAATGCAGCTAGCCCTCGAGAAGCTTTGCGTGAAATTCAAAACAAAAAGAAATCCTAACTATTATTTTCTACATTTTCAGCCTATCTTTTTCATGCAGTTTTTTATTTCCAAATTTATCGTCTGATCAACTCGCTTGAGCTTCTATAATCTTCCAAATTAATCTTGCATCGTTGCAGTCAATTTCTTATACTTATAATGATTTTTGTTAGTTTTATCCTTCATCCCTTTAAGTCCCCCAGTGGCACAGCGGTATGTCTGCGGACTTACAACGCTAGAATCCAGGTTTCGATACCCGTGGTGGGCAGAGCACAGATAGCCTATTGTGTAGCTTTGTGCTTAATTTAAAAACAACAACATCATCCCTTTAAATGGTTATATATTTGTATGGTGTTGCACATGTATAATGATATCGTACATGAATTTTTTTATGTACATTGAATTGTGTGCATGACTGGGTTAACCAGGTCTCTTGAGCACTGACTTTAGATGATATGACCCAATGTTTGAACATATGGCTATCTTTCTTTACTTTAAAACTTTATTTGGTAGAAGTCTTACGGATTAACCACCTTATCAACCATACTGGAAGTTCAACGTATATTCAAGAGTGACTTCAAAGATTTTCCAAAGGTGTCAAGGTGTTTTCAAATTGTGTGGCCCCCAGTGGCTCAGCAATAAGGCTGAAGGCTTATATCGCTAAAAACTGGGTTTCGATTGTTAGTTTGGTTGGTTTTGAATCTTGCACAAAATAACCCCAGGGCTATCTGTGCTAACCGTCCCTAATTTAACAGAGAGAGAAATCAGCTAGTCAACACCACCCTCCGCTAACTCTTGGTTTACTCTTTCTTACTAACGAATAGTGGGATTGGTCATCACATAATAACGCCACAATTTCTGAAAGGGCGAACATATTTGGTAACAATTATGAGTCGAGCGCCCTAATTATCAGGCCATACTAGGCCCTGGGTTTATATACTCATAGTTGGCACAACACAGATAGTCCATTGTGTAGCTTTATGTTAAACAACAAACAAATCAGTTTGTGATTGCAAAAACTAAAACAGGTGTTTTTCTTGCCCTTTCATGTAAGGATCTTTAAAATATGCTTTACCATTTTCATTGTAAAATTAAAGAAATGATTTACCAATTTTTTATATAAGGTCAAATCAAATATATTCATCCCAAAGTTCCTATTAAAAATATTTAAAATAACTTTACGAGTACTTTGCATAAAGCTACAATGATATTTTTTCGTGTAAACTTACAGTATAGACCTTAAGCTTTCTATAAGTATTTTTGTACAGAGGTTGTAGAAAATAGTTATGTTCTCCTACGTTATTTATAAAACTAGAGATATTTCGTATTATTTTTAAAACATTTAAAGTATTTCTTTCTAACACTTAAACTAAAAGGATGAAGTATAAGTAGTCGAACAGTATATTATGTAATTATTAGCGGACTTCTGGACTTATTGCCCGCATTTACAGGGCCGCTATAATGCCAATTTAATGCTTGAACTTCTATTTTGCACTTTTTCAGTTTAATGATCATTGCCGCTATAATGGAAGTTTAAT